CACCTGGCTCTCTTGCTGCAGAGCACTGTAAGGAACACAAGCTGAAACTTCATTTAAGTGCAGTGAGAGATCACCAAAATGAGGAGCACAAAGTGCTGAAGCGCACACCAGAGAGATGAAGAAGCAACAGAATCATAGAATGGTTGGATTGGAATGGACACCATAACCCAAACAGCCCCACTCCTGCTGCAAGGTTGGTGCTCCCTACCAGCTCAGGTTGCCCAGAGCTCCATCTATGGCACTGGGCACCTCCACGGATGGAACATCCACAGCCCTCTGGGCAGCAGTGCCAGGGTCTCACCACCCTGCTGGCTCATAGAAGCATCACAGTATCATAGAATGGCCTGGGTTGAAAAGGACCACAATGATCACCTGGTTTCAACCCCCTGCTTTGTGCAGGGTCACCAACCAGCAGCCCAGGCTGCCCAGAGCCACATCCAGCCTGGCCTTGAATGCCTCCAGGGATGAGGCATCCACAGCCTCCCTAGGCAACCTGTTCCAGGGCTTCACCACCCTCTAAACAAAAAGCTTCCTCCTTCGTGTGGAGCTTTTTGTCCATCAGGAGCCCCAGGCCATTCTCTACAGGGCTGCTATCAAGGAGCTCTTCTCCCAGGCTCTCCACATATCTGGGGTTGCCCCAACCCAACTGCAGCACCTTGCACTCGGCCTTGTTGAACCTCATGAAGTTCACGTGGCTCCACTTTTCCAGCCTGTCTCTCTGGATGGTGACCCTTCCTTCTGCTGCATCAACTGCTGAGAATGCACTCAATCCCACTGCCTATGTCATTCATACAGATGTTGAAGAGCACCAGCCCCAAGACAGACGGCCAGGGGATACCACTCACCACCATCTGCACACAGAGCCACTGACAACAACCCTCTTGCTGTGACCATCCAACCAATCCAGAGCTGAGAAAGGTAGGGCAGCTGTACTGGTCTCTCTCATCCACACAAATCCCATACATCTCCATTCCTCCCTTCTCTGAGGATCCTAGTACTCGTCAGCTGGTCCCATCTGAAGGAGCTGAAGTGGGCCACCATGGAGTAGCAGCACGCCATCAGGTACACACCATTGGGTGATGCACCACTGGGCTCTTCCAAAACAGGCAACAAATGATGGGCATCAAGACATCTGGTTGCCCAACAGCACCAAATAGCCAGGTTATTAAACCCACAGATGACAAATCTGAGTAACTATCTAAGCAAAACCAAGTCTGGCCACCAAGCAAGCAAAGAAAAACTTAGGTAAATAAGCTAAGTTGAAGAGAAAGAGTTTAGAGCACGTTTTCTTGCTTGAATCTACAACACTAATAATTATCAATCAGTTAATCATCCTCAGTTCTACTGAATACATAACTGAGATAGCAGCCACAGCAAGTCATAGCATACCCCATTGGGAGGGACCCATAAGGATCACTGTGTCCAACTCCACCTTTTTAAAAACATTCTTCTAAAAGAGAACAAAAAAAAACCATTTTCCCCTCAATAAAAACTATTAGCAGTCTAGCAGCTATTGATCAATTCTTCATTTGTGCTAATGATGCCCAAGAAATAGGTTTTTACCACCTTGAGTTACTGGTCACGATCCCAAGCAGTGAAATGACTCCAGTTTAAGAGTAAGCAGAAGAGATGCCGGATTTTGGGTTGCCCAGAGCTGGAGCAAAGTAAGATTATGGCTCTTCAGTAGTTTGGTGGTGTTTTTTTTTTCTTTAGATGGGCCATAAATGTTCCATTTCAGCTCATTTTGAAAAACCTGCTCTGGAAGTGCAGAAGAGGAAGACTCGCTCTGCAGGAACCCTGTCAAGAAGATAAGCGTTGAGGAGATACTTGACGTTACATAGCTTTAGGCTTCTACATTTTTCAGGCAGTGAATCCATCTCAGCAAGCAATGTAGATTGTGCTGAGCTGTTGTTATGCTTTTCAGCTACTGCCTGCCATCCTTCATGAGAGCCACGAATTTCTCAATGAGAGGAAAAAGGAGCCTGAGCACTGCCAAACGCGCCGTGCCACAAAGCGGATCAGTCGGATTAGTGAAGCAACTCTGTCAAAACAACTTGTCTGCTTGATCTCAAAGCTGATATTTAAGGGAGGTTGTTGGGTTCCTCAGAAAGATGCTACATTAGAAGTGTGCTCAAACTCTTATTTTAAAGGCTTGTAAGGGGATGGTGATTTTAATTCTGGTTATGAAGCCCGGAAGCCCATTCAAGCTTCTACCCACACACCATTCCCATCCCATTCTGCAGAGCCCAGTGTGAGGGTAGCAACTCTATCTCTAAAGGATTTGAGCAACCAAATACTCTAGATCAGCTGTTAAATAACAATGAATTTGAATGCTCCTCTCTCGAGCATCACATGAAGCTCTGCTCAGCCTTTTGGACTACACAACCATAATAGCAAATCAGCCCCTCCCAGATGCAACTGCATCACGACGTCAGATGGGTCAAGTAACCCAACTACACACTTTTTGCCTACAGCAAACATGAGATCATTAGCAATATTCGTGGTCAAACAAGAGGTTAAAATAGTGATAATAATCCTTTCAGTCAAAATCAAGCTGTCTTTCATCTATTGGTCTACTGCCAATGCATGGACTTCATCAACAGACCAGAGGTAGAATTATAGCATCGTTAAGGTTGGAAAAGACCCCTAAGATCATTGACATTAACCACTGACCCATCTCCACCATGCCCACTAACCATGGCCCTAAAAGGTGTGGCTGATGTGCTCAGCTATAGAAAGATCAGCTGGCTCAGTCCTTCACTCCAACACCAACACATTCACATGAGCACCCCAGAGCTGCATCAAACCCCCTTCCCAAATTGGCACTAAAACAACTGCACACTGGGAATGCCTTGATACCAGAGCCCATCCTGCAGATTATGATGCACAGAGAAGACACAAAGATGATAGAACACAGCTTGGGGTGAACAAAACAGAGCTTTCCAGGCATCTTCGGTTCACAGGTGGAAAATCTGGGGTGAAATCCAAGCAAGGGAGATGCTTCCCATCCCCCCGAGCAATCAACCATCACATGGTATCTGCAGATACACCAGGCACTAACGAGCTGCTTACAGCTGTGTCTATCTGGCACACTGGGATGCAAAGAGAAATGCGTATAAAATAGCTGTGCCTGCAATGATTGATTACAATTCTCCATCCTACAGCTGAAAACTGCAATGTAATGGCCTCCTATAAGAAGGGTTTATTTCTGGATGTGGCTCTGCTTGAGAGGATGAGTATTTCCCACCTTGGCTACAAGGATCCTCTTAGCAGCATGGCTGCAATGCCACAGGTGAACATTCCAGTTTCACAGCCTTGCTGGCATCTGCCTGCAGCTCACTCACCTCTCCCTGTGGGTTTCTTTGCTCTTTGCAACAAAGAGCAGGTAAATACAACAAGCAAACATTGCAATCGTTGCAATCCTCCCCGTGCTTCTCCTGGGAGAGCCCCTTATCTGCACCAAACTATTAAAGCCCTCCGACACAACTGACATCGTGATCCAACTGAGCTACGAAAAAGTATTCATTTTTTTAATGCTGATGTGCTAACATTTCTCTAGAAAACACATTTCTGGTGTCATTTTCCTCTTTCTCCTCTGCCCCCATGCTTTATTTTACACCTGAAACCCTCCAGCAAGCACAGCTAAGGGAACAAGAACCACAGCGACTACGTTCCTCCCAGCACAACTCTGAATGAACTCTGGGGACACCCTGGGCTTGTTGCAACACAGACCAAAATGTAGGTCAGATGTCTGCGTGGTTTGCCTCAGCAAACGACTTCATTTCATCTGCCTAGAGGCAGATGGGCACTGAGTCATCTGCTGCTGCATCACTCTTCGCTGTTCTCTTCCCTGCAATCCTAGATCCTTTTCTCTTACCATCAGGTTATGGCTGGATGAATGCAGTGACATCAAAGGATCAGGTGAGCAATGGCTCAAACCACACCAAGCACACAGAGGGGACATTTCCTTTGTTTTTTTTCTCTCTTTTTTAAAGCCATGCTTGTTTTTTTCCCAGAGCAGCACCTACCACACAAGCAGACACTTCTTAGAATAAAAATATCAAGTTTTCTTCATTTGTCTGAGAATAATTCTCATCCATATGATGAGGCACGTGAGCTTTCAAAGAAATCAAGGGGTTGTTTGACCCACGGGGTGTGGGATGCAACCATTTCCATCACTGTCTGCGTGTGAGATGCACTGCTCCTTCACCACAGCCACTTCTTACAGCTCCTGAAGCAGTCCTGCCACTCATCTGAGCTATTCTTTGTATTATATGACACAACATAGGGCTGAAGTCTTGTACAGGATGCACAAACAAAACCCACAGTAAAGCCCCTGGTGTTGGTCAGCACATAGATGACTAGAGTATGAGATAATATCTACAGGAACACCAGTGGGCTCTGTTTCATGGTACTGAACTGGAAGAAAAGGGCACAAAAAACAGCCTGCCCCCCCAGCAACACTTCCCCATGCTTTCACTAGCTCTGTGCATTCATTCAGATAATTAGCAGTACCACATCCAGAAAATAGGACTGATGGGCTCTTGGAAAAATCACTCACCTCATTTCCCTGTCTCAAAGCAGAATCAAGTTTTACCAAAACCAACCCAAAGCATGTTAAGACCTCCACATCACTGTGGTTTCTGCATTGCCTTCAGCAAGTCAATACCTTCTATGCCTTCATTCCAAGAGCAGGAACATTATCCAATGAAAAGAACCACTGCTGAACTTATACTCTATAATGAAAGGACATCCGTAGGGATCTATGTAGCCCAAACAACAGTAATTTCTGCAAAGAAAAGGCAACTGTTACAACTAGTAGAGAAGGAGGGGGTGCTGATGCATCACTGCTGGTACATCAACCAACAAACCTGACAGCAAGGTTCCCCTCGCCTAAAAAACAAAACCATGTTTGAGGTTTCCTCTTTAATTCTACAAGCACACTTTGCATGATGACTGCACAAAGAAGCAGAAATGCAACGAAGGCTTTTTCCCCTCACCTCCTTGTTGGTGACTCCTGGGGGCAAAGTCCCATGCTTGTAATCCTCCAGCAACTGCACAGCTTCCTTCAGGCGACTCTGCAAACAAAACAGCAGCATGAAGCAGGGCTCTGCACTGAAATCTTTCATTGAAGGCAACAAAATTAAGCTATGAAGGCAATTAATGTAAGTCTTCCTGTGACAGGTCGTCCTACACATGTATATGTGATCTAAAGGAGAAAGAGATGCATTTGCTGTGTTGGTTGGTGTGTATATATTTCATGTATGTATTAAATATATACACATAGATGTGCAGATAGTGGTTAGCAACCCTGCCCATGGCAGGGGGGTTTGGAACTGGATGGTCTTTGGGTCCCTTCCAACCCAAGCCATTCTATGATTCCATGATATATATACATTTTTAAGTGCAGAAAGGCAGCAGTGCCTTCACTTCCCAGAGCAAGCACGTGGCAGCTGGAGCCACTTTTACATGGGCTGAGCACCAGCATCATGCATGTCAACGCTGCTATTTCACATCCCCTGTAATGATTTTAGGAGGAAGCTTTCCACACAGAGGGTGGTGAAGCACTGGAACAGGTTACAAGGGTGGATAGTGATAGAAACAAGGGGGAATGGTTGTAAACTGAGACAGGGGAGGTTTAGGTTGGATATGAGGAGGAAGTTTTTCATCCAGAGGGTGGTGAGGCACTGGAACAGGTTGCCCAAGGAGGCTGTGGATGCCCCATCCCTGCAGGCATTCAAGGCTGGATGTGGCTCTGGGCAGCCTGGGCTGCTGGTTGGTGACCCTGCACACAGCAGGGGGTTGGGACTGGATGATCATTGTGGTCCTTTGCAACCCAGACCATTTTAGGATTCTGTGATCAGTGGTCAGAGCACAAAGGACAGACAGCGACCACCAAATCTAGATTGCATTTTAACAGCATGGGAAAGAGTTTCTTTTGCTGTTCAATACCAATTTCGTTGGGGAATTTGGATGGTCAGACAACCATGCCAGGGTTATTTGTTATGGTGGTGGTTTCACTCTTCCAGGTTTCATGAAGAGTGCTGACAGCGAGTAATGAGGTGTGCAAGAACCTCACCCCTTCTTCAAAGGCTTTTCTCACCAACAAGCAGCCTCTGGGAGCACCATGCCTTGACCCAGGAAAGGGAGAAGGATTTGTAAAATAAAAGCTTTGATATTTTTAAGGAAAAGCATCCACCTCATCCAGACATTCTCCAACGCACAGTGAAACAGAGGAACAAGGCAAGCAGAAGCCACGTTTCTCCTTCAGCCTCTTCTTCCTCTTGGTAGTATCATTACGGTTGGAAAAGAGCTCTAGGATGATCAAACCCAACCCCAACCCATCTCAACGTGCCCATAACCACCTCCCTCAGTGCCATATCTCATGGTTTTTGGACACCTCCAATGACAGTGAACCCCCACATCCTGGGCAGCCCATGCCAAAGCACTGCTACTCTTTCCAAGCAGAAACATTTCTTAATATCCTACCCAAACAGCTCCTTATCTCATCAACCCATGGTTATTTTCAAAACACCATATTAGCTCAGGTAAAAAAATATACATATATCAGTAAAATAGCACTGTGGATTATTTTAGATATTCTGATCATCCAGAGACAGCTGGAGGATCGATGGCTGCAGATCCAGGGCAGACAACCCATCTTGCCTCCAAAGCTAGGAAACAAACTAGCAATGCCAGCACCACGTTCTGGAGAGCCATTTGTGCTCATTACTGCTCTGTTTTTCTGTCACTGAAATTACCTACACGATGTGTCTTGCAAATTATCTACACAGAACAGCATGTAACTCTGAATGAAAAACTGGAAGTAATAGATGAATGGGTCTGTGCTCTATTTTTTTCCACCTTCTCTTGAGGAAATCTTAGTAGTTACTATAACAACCCTGGCCAGATCCCATCTTGTTTAGTATGGTAACAAACAGCAAACAAAAAAGCCCGATTTTGCTTTGAAAATTGCAGTCCTCATGAATTTCCCCTTTCAGCTCAGTGGGGAGAGAGGGAACTTTCACAAAGCAAAGAGTCCCAGGCTGACATTGCTGATGGTTCCTGAGGCTTACCACAATTGGTATGAAAAGAGAGCAGAAATGGAGGATGCTGGCACCACGTTAGGAAGGTGCCTTTCATGGGGCTTCAGGTATTTTCAGTGAAAGAATCAGACTCAAAACGTCGTCGGTGACAACACAAGATTCCTTTGCAATCCCTTCTAGAGAGAAAAGCAGCAACCAACCAACCAACCCCCAGGAACTTCCCAGTATGCAACAGCTCCAAATGCCAGCCAGCCCCACTCTGATTTCTAGCACGACACAGCACTGTTATGGGTGATGGTAGTGTCTAAGATGGCACTGCATTTCCTTTTTAACAGGAGAGAAGGGGGGAAAAAAAAAGAAAAAGAGGTCTGCCTACAAGGTCATGCTACCATTTCAATATTTATTGTTGCTTGCTTCTTCTACTGATATCTGTAGGAAGAAGTGTCACTCGAATTTTTACAGCATCACTTAAAAAAAGAAGTGCAGCCACAGTTTTTACTAATATGTAGCATTTCTTTCATACCCCTCGTCTCAGGAAAACTAGAGCACTTCTAGTGGTGGATTACAGGGTCTCAGCTCTCACAATAGGGTGCTAGACAGACCATCTGCACCCAGGGAATGTTCCTACAAACCCCAGCCCAGAAGCACTGCCAGGGATGCACGGAGCCCAGCGATGCAGGGGCACACAAACCCCATTCCTCGTGCTCCCTGCAGCACCTGGGAAGCACCACCCAACGCAAGGAGTCTTTGCATTAGGGCTCAAACTTTGCTTCCTGCTGAATGCAGCTGAAAATAAAGAGCCTTTTGGGCTCCAGCACTAAACCAAGCCCATGGAAAACACGCAATGGGCTTCCACTAATCCATGAACGTGGATTTTATAGTTTATGTGCTACTAAATAAGCCAGAAACTGGAAACATAGGTCCTGGGCAAGATGTTAGCACCAACTCTGGCACAGCGTTCATTCAAACCAACCATCCCGCTCCCAGCCAACTCCCAGCCATGATTTGGGATCAACCATGAGCCAGGAGTGCTGCCAAGAGGCACTTTTTGGAGAACAGGAGAACTTGGCTGCATGGCACAAGCCACATCAGCCAAAATCCAGTACCTGACTCTGGTTAAACTGGCTTAGATTCAACCCATAGGTTTTAGCGTAGAGAAGTAATGCGCCTTGTGCTGCTCTGACTCAGGGCTACAGGCAATGACTTGTCACTCAATCTTGCAGGTCTACACTGGAAGAGAATAATGGTCTTTGTAGAAAAAGCTGTTGAAGGATCCCATCATAAGGGCTCCAAAGAAAGGAGAAAGACCAAAAGCAAAGATGCCAGCAGGAGAGCAGCCCACATCATAGCGTCGACACTCCAACCCCATGATGGCCATCAACGTAGAGTAGGGACGACTGCACTGGGTCCTATGGATAACTGCACACATGTACCTGTGTCAGACACCTCCTACTGGTTCTTCACCTTGCCCCCTCTGCTCTGGGGCATGCTGTTTAAGTCTCAAAGATTTGTGTCTCCTCTTCTCTTGGATCTCAGCGGCCGCCTACACATGGCTTAGAGCTGCCTCCATATGTGCACACACAGACCAGAATAAGTCATTATGCCAGAAGCACTACAACGTTACAGAGACAACAAAAAGAGTCACATTTTGCACTTCTAAGGTAAAATCCACTCACGGACAGGGCACCTTGGAATAGCTTACACCTCACCTTGCTTCTGCAGAGCTGGTGTTGGTGTTTCAAGACCACGCTAGCCCCACATGTGCTTGTGAGCTCCACTGCCCTCAGGTTCAGGCCAGCAGTGACTTACTTGGCACAGAATCCAAAGCAAGACTCTCCTGGCCATCAGCAGCATGCATTCTACGTGGGGTAGGGGAATCCAGCTGTGCTCTGCTATCAGCAACTCTGCAGCTCCCCATTGCATCGCGCTGCGCTACGGATGATACATATGGCAGACTTGACTCCAGCTGGCCCTATTGTATTGGATCTACAGTGACAGACAACAGGAGCCAGAAACTTTTTGTTCAAGTAGAGCCAGCAGATGTGACACTGAATAAACACAGACAGTCAATCTGCTGAGTAAGAAGGTATCGTTCATATAAATAACATACATCTAATCCTGCTTCCATTTTAAACCCAAATATGGGAATGCAAGATGCTCAGCGCTCTGTAGTTTTACGCTATGAACAATGAGATGAAGGCAGATAACGTGCAGCCTATCTGAGCTCAGCTTCATTGTGATTTCACTTTGGCTTCCAGTTATTATCAGGTCCACAGCTTTCTCCATGAGGAGCCTCCCACAGAGCGCTAACAGCGTGTCCAGCCTGATGTCAGATGGGATATGTCAACCTTATCAAAATATCTGCTGGTCCCTACTGCTTCCCCCGAAGGACCTTAATTACTTGAGCAATTAAAAGTATTATTCCAATCATTTTAACCTCACACATTTTGAAAGTAGGCATTACACCCACCGAGGGGTTGCTCATGGGCTCAGCAATGGGTCTCAGCAATGGGACTTGTTGGGCTCCACCTCTGCAATGACAACATTTGCTGCTTATTGGAAAAGTTTGCAAATCTGCAGCTGCCACACAGACAGAAAAATATTGTTTCATTGGAAAGCAAGGCATGAGGTGAATGAGCACACGAGAAAACCTCTTCAGAGGTTACCTGTTACGCTGACACAAGGCACTGCCACACCATAAGCCTGTATTTAGCATGCATCCCTTGAGGATTCATGTTTGAGAGCCTCTAAAAGATAAAGAAGTTTTTAACTGTGTTCAACTGTTGGAAATAAATAAACGATTAAGCAAAGACTCTCATTGATACTAATTACACTTAGCTTCCCCCTCTGAGGAATCGCTTCATCCTTCCCTCAAACAGCCACCGGTAGGATGCAATGATGCAACATACAGCAATTAAAAAAAAAAAAGATGAAGACAAGAGGATATTATCACATCTCCCAGCACTTTCCATGGGATTAACCTCCATTCTCATTAGAGGCTCATTTATCTCTGTGTTTCGTTCGCTAGCGACGCGTTTGTTCCTCAAGAACCTCAGGCCTGAGAGCTGCAGCCATCTGGCACTGGAAGGAGCTGCTCCTCCAGCAAACCCCTCCTAGATGTTAATTTGCCACTTCAGTTACTCAGCTACACCAGCACACACACAAAGTACTCAAAGCACAAGATGAGACACGCGGAGCACAGGCAGCAGCTCTGTGCTGCTTCCCATGACCCCAGGTTGGTCAAGATGTTGCCTTAGGAGCAAGAGCCCACACACATGTCACAGAATGCACTGTGGGAGCTCTGCTGAAGCATCAACTGTCATTGATTCAAACTCCCAAAGAAAATGGGCATGGGGCTTTTCTTCCTTGGACAGCCACCAAGCCATTCCAACACCCATGGATCTCAAACCTGTGCTCTTTAAACCCCATAGAAGGGAATCAAATCTCTTTCATTTTCTTATGTTCTGTCTGGATTCCAGAATAGCTTCTTCCTTTTAACCCCTACAATTCTGCCATTCTGTGCTTTTCCCCTCATTTCTTGTATCTCATTTTCTGAAGCAGCAGCACATCGGTGGGTATCTAAAAGAACTAAGTTACACCAGCTGATTGCCCCACACCAACCACACCAACCCCCTCAAAAACTTCTCACAGTTAGAAATGGGGACAATAGAAAGGTAGAAAAGCATGCAGTCGAGTCAGAATCACAACATCATACAGGTTGGAAAGGAACTTTAAGATCCCTAAGTCCAACCTCAACCCAGCCCCACCATGTCCCTCAGTGAGATATTCAGCCCCTAGAAAGTAAGAAATGCATTATTTCTTGTGATACCAGGGGAAAAAGGTTCATCTTTCAGGATCCAAACTACCTGCCTTCATCCTGGAAGCAGAGCTGCTTGATGCTGCAGACTGCAAAATATACTGAAACAACTCCAGGCTTTGGCTACACAGAGAAATCCACAGCTTTGCTCTTAACCCTTTACCTCTGCCCAGGTACCAGCAGCACCAAGCCTTTAACACGCAGTTAACTGGCTTTGATTCTGATCTGTGGGCTTGCACCCTTGGTAAATAGCAGCTCTAGCACCTGCAGAGCATGCTGGATCCTGGGATTTTCATTCCCATGTATCACAACACAGCGGTGCTAATTTGGAATCATAATGTTTTATTGGCAGGAGGTCACCTCCCCAGGCACAGCTCTGTATCCAGGGTGGTGACTTGAGAAACCATCTCCTATTTGATCTGAACTTGAGCTTTTGCAACTGTAAGTACAACCTTCAGCCTGATACTGTAAAAAACAGCTGCTTTACTGCCTGCAGCTCTCCTGGGCACCCATCCAAAAGGTACTCAGAACCACACGGCACATTCTAGCCTTATGGTTTTGAGAAAAGCTTGCTGATTTGGGAAAAAGGATGATAAGTCACATCAGATCTCTTCCCCACTGCTGTCACCGCAGCAGTGTAAGGAAAGAAAAAGCGTGCTGGCAGCAGGCAGAATTTAACATCACCGGAGGAAACATTGCTTCTGAGGGGTTCATCACAATCAGCTCAGTGTTTTATGAAAGCAGGGACATGCAATGATGCTGGACAGCATCACTACAATAAATGGAAATGGGCCAGAAACTCTCAAGCCTGCTGCAAACAGGATAATAAAGAAGGAAAAACTATTACACAGCTTCCTTGGGAAAGGACTGGAGAGGCCATTGAAAACTGCAGCGTGCTCCCACCTAGCAGTGGATTTGCTCCCTCCTTTACTCACCCTTCTCTTCTCCCTCCATGAAAGCACATAGGAATTTTCCCCCCTGGGAGGCCAACACTGCTGGCAGATTTGACTGAGAGCTGCTCAGGTGGATCCACAGGGAGAGGCCTCAGGGGTGGCTAACAGAGACCTGAGTGGGCATGGATAGGGTTGGGCTGGGCAGCCCATCAGCAGTGAGTCCCAGATCCATCACAAACCCATCTTCACCCCTCCTGCTGTTAAATTCACAGGAGAAACTTTCTAATCCAACCCAGGTGGATAACGAGAACTAAACAGAAAATAAGGAGCACAGACATTACCTCAGTAACAAAGAGAGTGCGTGGGTCGATGATGTCCAAGAAGTGCCTGAATCTGCCATAAAATGAAGTCTGCAAGAGAAGGAAAAACAAAACGTGTTCAGTTAGATGAACACAAGCCAAGTGTTGTGTCTTGTGCCTATCAGAGTTATCGAGGTGCTGAGTGGGAGCTGGGCTTCATTGTGCCAATCACCACATCAACACAGGGTGAGAGATGGACTATGAACCTTGAGATTCCATTACAGTAATCAAGGCTGTATGGTTTGAGATGATTTCTATTTGCACCCACTGAAGTACAAGTTTCCAAGATGTCTGGAACAGCACAGAAAACAAGGAGAGGTGAGAGCCTGGCATTCCCCAGAAGGGTGCAGAGTCCAGACACTACAAAATGAGCCCTGTTCCTGCTGTACATTTCATGTTCCTGGAAGGCACCTGGAGCTTTGATGCACTTATATGTGTGTTCTACTCTGCAGCAAAGACAGGACGTTGTTAGTGGGCATGGTGAGGATGGGCTGATGGTTGGACTTGATGACCTTGGAGGTCTTTTTCAACCTTCATCATAGAATGGCTTGAGTTGAAAAGGACCACAATGATCATCTAGTTTCAACCCCCTGCTATGGCAGGGTAGCCAACCAGCAGACCAGGCTGCCCAGAGCCACATCCAGCCTGGCCTTGAATGCCTGCAGGGACAGGGCATGCTTTCACCTGGAGCAGCAACTGCAGCTAGAAGACCAGGAAGGGATGCAGAAAGCTGGGAACTGCCTGAAGGGAGGGGAGGAAGCTGTGAAACAAACTGCAGGCAGTCATGGGCAGCTTCAAAGGAATGCAGAGCAGTTCTGACTCAGTACCAGAAAACTAAACATCAAAAACTGAATGTAGGCAAACCCAAAGCACTGGACCACAAAACACTGAAATACACAGAGCACATCACTGTTTCAGCCCAGGTCTGCATTCACCCACACCAGAGGTGGGCAGACGTGGGCAGCCCCAACATCCACCCAAGCATCAGTGAGGACAAAGGGACACGTGGCGGCCCACTCTGGTGCCTGACCTTCTTCTCTTGGCTCTTCCCAAGCAGAATTTGCACCCACTGCACAGAAAGGACACAGCCACCGATCTCTGCGTGCTCACAAACGCTGGGATGCTTTTGCTCTACGGCCACGAGCAGGCAAACGACTCTTTCTGTATTTGCAGTGCTATAAATAAAGGATGGGAATATGGATGCAGCAGTGAGAATGGCATTTAATCACCGCCTGGTGTAATTTGATGAAACCTGCTGGCTTCTCTCTGCTGAATCCACGAAGCACAGAGAAAATACCACCAAGACTGTGACTTACTGAGGCAGAAACCCCTCCATAGAAGCAGATCCCAGGGGAGCTGCAGCCCCACCACCCTGCCTTGCAATCCTGCTCTCAGCTGCTCCTGTGCTCCATGCTGTTATTTTCCCATGTTCTACACGAGAATGAAAGGGGAAAAAAAAAAAAAAACCTGTAACTGAACAAAATAGCTTCACAGAAGTTACGGGGAAAAAAAAGAAAAAATCCCAGTGGTTTTTAATTAGCGTTGATTTAATTAACGCTAATTCTGGTACTTTCTAGCGTTTGAGAGCTTGGCGTGTTGCTACCTTCCTTTGATTACTCACTCTGCTTCAGCAACCCAAACCCATCCTATTGCAATCCAGGCCATTAGAGTGGGGTCATAGCATTGACTCATAGCACAGCAGAATTACACACCAAGGTCCAGAGCAAGAGAAATTGAGGATAAAGCCCCCCCCATGCATGGCCAGGAAGGGCAACCTGAGCTGCTGGGGGGCATCCAGCTCATGGCAGGGGACCCACGGGGCTGAGGGGGCTCTGAGGTCCCTTCCAACCCAACCACGCTATGGTTTTACATAGACCAACCAGGAGCAGCTCTCAATTCAGTTCTCCACTTGAGAGATCTGCAATGCCCACGTGCCCTTTGCTCAGACATCACAGAGCACTTCATGGTGCAGGCTGCTCCACGACCGACCGCTTTCCTGCTGGCACTCGGGGCCACTCCAGCTTCTGCTTCTTTCATCTGCACTTCTAAAAGAAGCAGGGGGGAAAAAAAATGAAGAAATTATCCCCCTGCCATCACTACTTCAAAGGAAAGACAGTGTGAAGACAGACGTGCTTCTTCCCTGGGCTGACACCAGCTCCAGGATGGCTCTGCTCACCAGGGACGCGCAGACAAACTCAATTGAGACAGAGCGCACCCCTACGGAAGGCAAGGAGACCTGACAGATCACCCGTGGCTCTCTTTTCTTTCCAAATTAGCAGAAGCTGTCTGAAAACACGACTACACAAACGTGCTTTTCCTTGCCTGCTATTCATGAGCTGCTCGGAAGGAAAAAAAACACTCCTAGGATCATAAAGTAAGAGCAGCCATTCCAACCCCACCCCAACCCACCGTGCCCACTGACCTTCAGTGCCACATCCCCACTGTTTTGGAGCATCTCCAGGGATGGTGACTCCATCACTCCTGGGCAGCAGTGCCCAACCACACTGTCTGACGTTTCCCCTCCCCCCCAGTATCCATCAATCCACATCCAACAGAATAAGGGGACATCAAAGTATATCCACCTCTTTCCAAAGTCTGTGCTGGACAGACCAAACCCTAGCAGTCAACCAGTCCCAGATTTCAATGAAAATTGGGGACTGTTGCTTTCATTGGGGTTATTTCCACTTCTGGCCATCGTGCTCATGCCATGGATAGAGCTTGCAGCACACCCACAAGTTTGACCTTCACATCTCAAACACATCCTGCATCTCTTTCGCCATTTTATTCCCGTAACATCTGCTGTAGTAAACGGTTATTCAGAGGAAATCTGAATACTGCAATTTTCCTGTGATTAATCGGGGCTATTTTGGGACTGCTTCTCACCAGCCTGCGAGCAAGACTAAGTCCTAGAAGGGAATATTAATTCCCTTCCATGGCAGTTTGTACAGAGCAAGGGAGCGCAATGAGCTCCAGCTCAAGACTGGATGTGCTGCAGGCCATGCAGGATGTAGAGAGCACCAGCAAAAATGCTCAAAGAAGGAAAAAAAAGACACCAGGAATTTGGAGAGAAAGGGCAGGGAGTAAATGGCCACTAGCAAGCAGTCAGTTAATCACCTTCATTTAAAGCAGGTGGGCATTCCTCAGCACTGGAAGGAGATACGCACAACTTTACTCATTTAATTGCAGTGTGACTGTAAAAAAGATTTAATTAAGCCAGAGCAAAAGGCACACAGACTTGGTTGGGATTTTTTTTCCTAGTTAAAAAAAAATAAAATTAAAATAAAAAAGCCAGGCTTACGTCAGCTCTCAATTAATTAGGAAGAGATTTCAGCTAAACCACAGAAAATATATATTAAAAAATACAAGCCATTGAGCAACTGCTGGCAATGCTGTGCAATTCCACGCCGGGAGCCCACCCCACATACAAGTTTGGGCTGAAGCTGTGCAATCACAGCCCTTTAATACTCTAAATCTGAGTCAATTAAAGGGCCAGGAGCCCTTCCCTGCACCTTCAGCCACCTGAAGAAAAAGGTGAGGGCTCAGATGCCCTGAGAACCACAGCAAAGAGGCAAATCTTCATCTTCTCCCTCTAGCAGCAGCTCCTCTTCTTTCTGCTGCTGCAGGCTGTGGGATTACAGCACGGATCCTACAGGTTGGTTCACCCCAGCACACCTCCCAGCCTCACCTTCAGCTTCTCCACCCAACCCCTGAGCAAAAACACCCCGCAGCACACGACGCAAACTCCGTCTGAAATCCAATCCTGGCTGACAGAGATGTAAAAAAGCCAACGGATGGCTTTTTTGGCAGATTCGATGAAGTTAGCAGATAAACACCAAACCCAAAAGGTGTCTGTATTTCCTTTTCTCCTCTGCAATTCGTCTTTAAGCATGTGTTTGCAGAACCCAACCGACTGCATAGGATAAACAGGGTCAGCCCGAATTCAGGGCTGAGAAAGCCACGTTTGGCAGCTCGCACCGCGCAGCGCCTGCCAGCATCTTCTCCAGCAGCATCCACACACTGGGCTGGACCTGCACGTACAGCAAAGCCACAGCAGCTGCAAAGCAGCCTTAAACATCTCCCTGTAACCTCCTTAGGAAATCCCTGCTCCAAAGCGGATGAGGCGGCTCATCCACTTTCGGTAGAAAACAGCTTGAAAGGTGGAAGCCAGAGTAGGAACTTCTGCGTTCATTTAATATCCTTCTAACGCAGCTCTGGGCCTCCTGTCAAGGCCTTCAGCAATTAACACACGCAATCAGCAAGCCATCAAGCTCCTGAGAGGCATATCTAATCGAGGGCTGCTTTATCTGCATGTTATTGCAGGGGTTGTCTGGGACACGGGAGGCAGACGGGTTGACTCAGGGAGGAGTGAACACGTTGGGTTTTTAAATCCCCAGATCAAAGTGCAGAGAGAGCAGGCAGCGACGATTTGCAGCATTCACATCCTCACAGGACACTTCTGAGATAAGCACGCTCTGAGCCCATGACCACACATTGAGCCCCCAGCTCCCACCGAGTCCCACAAGCAGCACACGATGCTTGCAGTTGGCTTCATCCTCCTTATTTCCCTCTCCTTCCCCTACAGGATCCAAGATCTGGGACATCCTCCTGCTTGCAGAGTGCTTTTTCGAGAGCTGACAGCAATAAAAACCCCAAAGTTTAACTGGCACTATCAGCCTGCAGCAGTTTACAGCACTATTTGGTGAACCACCACACCCCACACCTTCTTTAGTGTTTCCAAACACGCATTTATTTGGCCTGGATTGAAGCAGGGGCTGTGGGTCACAGCTTCAGAAACTTCAGTATGATGTTTTGGAGGGAGCAGACAGCAGAACCTATTAATGGTAAATAGAAATAAATAAAAAGCAACCGTGCTTAACAAATTAAAACTGCCGGTCAGAAAACGAAGCCCCTGTCACGCATTCCCATGCTTAATGTCCTTATTCTTTTACCTAAAAATAACCTGCTTCTGTCGGGAGGCAAAAGCTGCTCCCAGCAAAGAAACCAGAAATGTGACCTGACAGATGCGACTTGCCTGAAGAGCAGGA